TTCATATAACCTGTCAGGTTATAATACACATAACAGGTGTACATCTTTACCATGAACATCATTCCTCTATAATGTAACTGGTTACCCCCCCCCACGCATTTCGAATTTCCATGGCCGGAGAGTCACCCCCCCCCAATCTTTTCCCATCCACCATCACCCCCAATTTCCAACACAGATTTTTGGCACAGCTGTGCAAAGTCCCCATCTCTGCGATTTTGGTTTGCGTTTCCTCCCTGCTTTCTCACTCAAAAGGTGGGTTCCCGTTGAAAAAGTTTCACTTTCAGTTAATCTGACCCAGTCTTGCTCTCCAAAAATCTATTCCGTCAGATCTTCTCGGGGCGGTAGGCGTTGCTCTTCTGCTCACGGAGTCGGTTCATTGCCTGGGAATGGACCTGACTACCAGGCCTGAGTCGTTTGGCACAGGCGTCGTGGAAGCCACGGTGGGGCGAATCAACCGCCTGGCCAGGATCAACAGGAACCTGCGTGCGGACAACAGGTTCATCCGGCGCATCGCTTGGGTGGAAACCACAGACGGCACCGAGGCGTTCACTTACTCTGACCAGAGCTGTCACGGAGGAATCTGGCGACTGGACCGCTACGTGTATGATTCCGCTGTAGCCATGTACAGCCCGCGATACGCATCCATCTTTGATGACATCGAAGCACTGATGGACAGCAACTGGAGCAAAACCACTTGGCGGGATTGCCGCAGACCGCTGTACTCGGCACCCGCTGCTCGACTGTACTTCCACAATTTACAAACAGTGATCCCTCAAGTAGGTCAATGTCGATTTCAGTGGTCTAGCTTGCATTTTTCCGATATTGTTGCATTGCAGGTTTTCACAGGTCCTATTGGGTCTTTTAAAGAGCAACCCAGACGATTGGAAGAAAATGAGAAATCTGGCTTTGGATCCCATTATAGACATCTGTGCCACATATAAAGCCGGTATCAGCCATATTTTTGGTTTAAAAAACTCACTCTTGAGACTCGTTTCTGACGAGTGCTATGACTAGCTTTCGTGAAAGGAGTGTGTCGTCATCGCTTCATTGACATCTCATGAATACGGCTTTTTTCAGGGTTTCGTCGACGTAACATCGTGGAAACGGTTCCTTAAGCTGGTGCATGTACGCACTGAGCCGGCGCAGTCACATCAATGCACATAATTACACGTACCAGGTAGTACAGTAACACGTGTGTTGTTACAGTTACTGTCCCAAGTCCGAGGCGCGCGCCCTACCGCTAATTGAACCGTCGTGCCATCCATCGGGATCCCGGTGGGGCTGACGGTGGGGCCACAATAGGTGAAAGAGGCGGTGCCAGGAGACCAAGATTGTTTGATAAACAATAGCCTTGGTCAAGGCGTTCGTCATTCGTCGCAGCGCTGCACACGGCCTCGTGCACTTGCCGCTCGAAATCAAGGCGAAGAGCGACCTCACGCGGTTTAAGAAATAATTGTATGCAAATCAGCTGAACTCCTTCGTGCAACCGTCCGCGGAAGCTTATATTTTTCTTTACTTTTGAGCTAGATTTCTTGTGCACTACCTCGTATGTGAATATGAATAGATGCAGGCGTGCGATGAGTGCGCAGTGACAAGTTGCAGCTAAGTATACATATGTATGATGCCTCAACGTGAACTGGCATGCATGATAGCCATGTAAAATTAATGGTGTTCAGTTCGACTTGAATTATGCATTTCCTATGTAGTAATGAACCAATCCAAAAGCGTATTTAAAACATCGGCTCTTGTCATTAGCATAATGAGCACCGTCCAATACAGCTTCCGCAGGCGGTTGCACTGAGGTGTTCGTCCTGGTTCAGCTGATTTGCATATTTCTTAGACCGCGTGGGGTAGCTCTTCGCCTTGATTTCGAGTGGCTGGTGCGCGCTACCGTGAGCTGCGCTGCAAGGCTAGATAAATACGGCTTGGTAAGTTGACAGTAAATTACAGGTGTTTTTAGTGTTTTTTATGGTGTTATTTTTTCCCAAAAAGTGTCAAGCTAGATCGTGCAGCTCAGGCGTACGAAAACATATCCATGAAACCAGTTCCTGCTAGGTCATGACGTTTTTCGTTTCCATGGTGGTACGTATCAAAAAGCATTTCTGCGTGGCGCCACCAACGGTACGAACGTGGACAATTTTTGAAAAACCCGCAGAATTAGCCCATATTGTTTTCACCGCCGTTGATGTTTCTCTTTAAGTAACTGTTTTCGGACATTTGGACACCAATTATTATTCGAACACATTGTTCTCAGCCAGCGCCCATTTTTTTGGCCAAGACAGGTGCGTGTTTACTTTTTCACGGCCTTGCTAAATAGACAGACGAGCTGGCAAGCGTGTGCCCTGAATTACACATGGCTGCAACAACAAAACCGTGGGTCAGATTAAGTTGAAAAGTAACTTCGTACTGAGCAGGAAAGTTTTTATGGGCAAACTTTGAAAACAAACGGGCATGGGACAGCCGAGTTTTAAGGCAGACTCGCTTCCCTCCGGTTATGAGATGGTCCAAAATAATCTGGCTTTTTGAACATGAGCTTTCAAAGTTTGTAAATTGCCGACATGTGCGAAGTCAAGAAAATAAACAGCCCAGATGAAATATTACTACTCTGCAAAACTGCTGAAGTAGTTCCCCTTTTGGACCCGATTGCATCCTAATTACTCAGAATTGCAAGCCCAGAGTCCGGGCCAGAGGTTCAGTGCCGTAATTTCTTCAATTCCCCAGTTCTATTGCTCGAAAGACACTCTAATATAGACCATTTTGGAGTGTATAACTTGTATTAATGAGTTCAGCGGACATATTTCTGGCCTATTTATGTGGATGTAACCTTGTCAGAGTATTATCTGATCGGATGCACCCACAATAGTTGGGAAGAACGCTTACCGGCACGGTAAATTTACATTAAATAGTGGGCCCCCTAAGCATATTGCTTTGCCAGTAATATTGTTTTGTTTTGTCATATTATTTACTTTCCTCGGTTGCTCTACTGTACATGCATCACATTATAAACTAGTTCATTGACATCAAAACGTACCTGGGATATTTATCAACTGTATGCTACGAATCACACCGGCCACAAGTACCGTTCTTACCTATCCCCTATTATGCAAATGGTTGGTTCCAAAACCGCACGCACCACGTGTGTGGGTAGGATGGTAGACAAGGTAGTCTTGGTTCGAAGACCTTTCGGGGGTTTTTCAGCGACAGAAGCCATAACACCAAGTACACTGTTGGAGGGTGCTGTTATCACAGGAACAGGTATCACAAGAGGGTCTTGGATATTTTGTTTTCATTTAGTATGTTTTTCATTATTTTCCCTCGACTTTCCAAGGGAACCAATGATAGATCCTTATACTGAAATATTCCCTTAATTCATGACGTCACCCAACCGATGATTGAAAAAAAACTGGCGTCCCGATCTCGAGGTAGGAAAATTTCCACAGAAAATGCCGTAATGGTGGTAACATGCCTTTGAAATACGCAAATCGATTACTTTTTTTAACTTTCCATATTCAGCCATTCGTTGATCATTTATCCTATAAATTTCCAGGTTTAGGGAAAAATAAACCAAATTCGCAGTGCTAAGGCGAGCAGGGATACATTTTGACTGTACAGTGGTGGTACGTGACAAAAATCGAAAAGGGCTCAATTTCTTTGGTTGTATGCGCTCAAGGCAACTTTCTGGATGCTGTTCCGGGCTATAGGAAGATATTTTGTGAGTGCTTTAGCTATGAGCTTTCGTTAAAACATGTTGACGTGATATTAGCCGATGTTTAAATAAGAAAACGCAGTTTGTGAACTCTACACATGTTGAAAGTCATTTGCGTTCCATCCGCCAATCATAACTTACGTGCTATGAATAATGCATATCGTACCTTTATTACCTGGATCCCTGGATCTTTTTTTAAGGATCACCAGTCACCAGAAGTTGTATAATATGCGCAGAGTGATCTACCTGCTGTTTGTGAGCTGAGAGCACATTTAACTCCAGAACTTGCTTTGTTACCACTGTAAATGTCTTCCCACTAGACCATCGAGCTTGTGGTGTAGGCCTTGTGAATGATTATTATCAGAAATAATACACCTTGTAAATTGTGCGAAAGTGTGAAAGCCATAAGCAAGTATCGATGTATCCTATGCATTATTATACTTATACTATATTTTTTAGCATAGCAGCGTCCTATGTGGTTTCCTGTAGTAACCAAGCAATTCTCATACCCTTTCAACATTTGTTTTTTTTCCTCCATTGTTAGAGACAAAAGAGCCACTGGAGCATCAATTTTACCTCTACCGCTTCCATCTACGACCCGATTTATTTTCTGAGTCATTTGCGCTTGGATTCTGTCGGAGAAAGGCAGGTTTACTTTGCAGCCAGTTTTATCAGATTCGATTCTTGACATGGAAAAGACGGCTATTGGAGGTAAGTTTTCATTCTTGTTTTACTTTAGCATCAAACATCCATAATTATAATACTCGTAGCAGTATGAAAGGAAACTTGTATGTCGAATTTAACAGAACGTCACTGGCCAAGAACGATGCTATTCATCAAGGTATATTGTACTGGAATGGTCTAGATGATTCTCTCTTAAATCATTACTTCCTTTATCTGTGTTTGCTAGAAAACTAGGAACTCAGTTGCTCGGCTGGTATTCCTAACTCATATTGATTTGTGCTCTATTAATGCGATATTGTCTCACACTTGGTTTAGTTTTGTCCTGTTTGTCATTTGTCTGTCCTAGTATGTTAGATTGCTTAGTTTTCTTTGTCTCTCCATAGGTTGGTGTACAAAAGCGTTCTTGCTAACCTTTGTTGTCATCTAATTTATGAAATGTAAAATGATCCATTATGCAACGTTGCTCAAGTTAATGGTCATGTACTCAGTACTTAAGTAGTGTGAATCATGTTTGCTTGACCTGAACGAAATTTGAACATGCAACACCTTATCTGCGCCGTAGCAACTTGGCTATGTATTTAATGAGCTGAACGATGTCTATAAGCCTTGAACAAAGACACTGGCAATTTGTGACCCACTCTGTGAAAATGAGTCTTAAGTTGCCAAAGTCACTTTGGATTAAAAGTCCTTTCGAATAATTTCGCATATTTTCGAAATCAGTAGGAATCCACAGTTTTTTCACTATGGAGTACCCACTTTCATTACGATGCCAAAATGAGTGATACGTCAAAACAAAAGTCTCACTTTGCTCTTTCCAATACAAATGAAAACTCAAAATGTGGCTCTGACGACTTATGACTCATTTTCACAGAGTGGATCACATTTGGAAAGAGCTACGAACATGCACGGGGCGCGCAATAGTTAGACGGACTGCATGTTGATTTTTTTCTTGTTCTTTCGTTTGTTTGGGTTTTTTCTTCGCGTTAATGTAATTCAGTACTGAAGTTGACGAATTTGGAATGGTATACTTCCCCAGAATGAGAGCAAATATCGGCAAGACTGCTGGGGGAGAGTGGGACGCAACGCTTTCCGAACAATGTGTGGAAAAGGTTATTACATGGGTTACACGCCCATGACGTAAAACTAATAAATGGCAGAGGACAAGATAAGGGTACTGAGTAGAAGTCCCTTGTCTAGAAAACAGGCTTGACTTTAATTAATCGTTTACTGCGCAGTTTTACTGCGGGCATTTTTATTACTTAACGTAACTATTTTGGTCCATGCTTCTAATAGGTTGCCTTTTTAAAGAAATAATGTGAACTTGGTAAGATATTCACCCACAACCAAGACTTAAAATGAAGATTTCAGGAATGCTCTTCAAATTCTTGATAAGGGACTATTCTTAAGTCCTGGATCAGTGTTTCGTAATAGCCGTAGTTCGCACCGAGGGAGACGATCATGCTTTTGTTCGCAGGTATCGCGCTATTGCATTTATCAGCAGCCTAACCTCGTGGTTTTTGTTTGCACACAATGGGTTAATGTCAAATGGGTAGTTCTGCACTTTTCTGGAGAATGTGAAAGAAAACGCTGACTGAGCGTTTTGAATACCACCATATAAGGCTTCCATTCACAGTTTTGGGAATCCCTTTGTGCACTTTACCCGGATACCTGAGAATTTTTCCATTTGCTTGTGTTACTCAACACCAATGAGTAATTTGGAACTTGCTGACGTAATGCTGTGGAAATTTCCATTCCCCATGTTGAGTAACAAAGTATAGTCTATTGTCTACTGACATGGGGGTAAGTCTCCGGGGATGAGCGATATATCCCCACACAATTTTTGAGGTGGGGGTGGGCTATTGAATTCCCCCCCCCCGAACACACACACACACACACACACCTTTTGTGGTAAAACACAAATTAAAGCTGATAATTAAAGTTGTTAACAACTTTTGGGGCCTTCCCAACGACTAAAATGCATTTAATATCACCCATTGAAAAAGAAAAACAATTTTAAAAAGCTGTGTGCCGTTCCGATGTAAGATTCTGCGTGAAATGCATATTGCAGATACACATCAGTATCATAAACATCGACCTTTCATATAGTGTCACATGGTGTCATTCCCCTACCCCGCTTTTCAAATTTCCATGGCCAGGCAAGTAATCCTCTCCACCTTTTCTCATCCCCACCCCAACCCCGTTTTTGGGCACAGATTTGCGCCACTGTCCACCGCAGTAGTATGCCTTCAAGAGTCGGGTGGAGTCCCTATACAACCGACATTTTCCCCGATGCTGTCAAAATGCATTTGTTTCCCGTGCTGAGCTTTCAGCATAGTTTAGTAATGTCTTGCAATCATTTTGACACTATTTTTCTGAAAATTGGATAATTATTCACTTCTCACACAAAGCCTATTTTATAGAGTCGGGCAAGAGAAGAAAAGTCAGCTTTTCCTGTTGCATTGTGAAGCGTTCAACGCACCCAAGCCAACACGCTTGAGGCCATGGACTTCAAATGACAGCAACAAAAACCCTTCGAAACTGTTGCTTTATCTCCTCTAGAGAGCTTACTCAAAAAAAAGCACCTTTAAGCTGTATTTTCCCAACTATTCTGCGCTGTACGAAAGCTTTGAATTCGAAAAATGGGCAAATTTACTAGGATGGAACTCTAACCTACGACCTCCTTCCTAATTATGAGAACGCGTTACCACTCGACCACCATGTTTCTGGGTGGTGAGCTGACGGTCGCAGACGCTATAAAGGGCATGAAACAGGCAGACTTGATTCGAGTTGGATGGTATGCTAAAGTCGTTAGTAGTAGCCTGCGAATGGCAAGTAGTACACCACCAAGACCCCTTGACATAAGCCTACAAAAAGGCTAACTACGCCTTTAAATCGATTTTGAAAATGGAAATTAGGGTTAGGTAGCTGAATGGTTGGCTGCCTCTTTCCCGAGTTGCACTCATCCCTGGCTGAATCTTTTCCCACTTCACTTTTTAAGCCCTGCCAGGCCTCGTTGTTGTGGCAAGCGTTATCACCTTGTTCGCTCAGCCGACTCGTTCCCAGGGAACGGACCTTACTACAATTCCTGAATCATTTGGTGTGGCCGTAGTGGAAGCTACGGTGAGACGGATCAACCGCCTGGACGGGATCAATAGGGACCTGCGGGCGGACTACAGGTTCATCCGGCGCATCGCTTGGGTTGAAACCACCGACGGCACCGATCAGTTCACCTACTCTGATCAGAACTACCACGGGGGAATCTGGCGAGTGGATCGCTCCGTCTATGACTTCACCATGACCATGTACAACAATCCGCGATACGCTTCTCTCTTCAGTGACGTTGAAGCACTGATGCAGATCAACTGGAGCCGAACCACGTGGCAAGATTGCCGCAAACCGCTGTATTCGGCACTCGCCGCACGACTGTACTTCCACAGCATACAGCCCAATATCCCTCAGGTAAGTTTAAAATAGTGTTAACTTTTGGGCAAATATTTCTTCGGTAAACTCTGATTTAGCTTCCACTTGTGGAAAGTTAGCAAAATTTCCTATGACTCGATTTTGCATTGGGAAGATACCTTCATCAATACTGGACTGATAGTTTCCAAAGAGTCTTTGCTAGAAGCACACAAGAAAGATCTTGCGTCAAAGAAAGGCACAGGAAAATAATTTGTTCAAAGTGTTTGCGTAAGGGGAAGTACAAAGCCAAAAAGGTACTAATTTCTACTTTTCCCTGTGTGGTATAAAAACTGCATTGGGGACAGTTCACTCAAGTTTGCCTGAAGGTGTTCTAATATCAAGTTATGTGCTTTCCAATTTTTTTAGTCGGAGAAACCAATTAAATGTGGTAGAAAGAATGAATGGCCACATGCTTTTAAAAGAAGCCATTTCTAGTTTACGTCATGGATGAAAATTCGGTCAAAGAAGGGCAAGACGAAACCGAGCTCGAAGTGAACTTCCTTTTTCATAACCTTGCATAAATGCAAAATGTGGGTTGATGTGTTCGGAAAATAGGTCCATTCACTGTTAACAACAAAATAAAAGCAATGTCGCTGACCATGCATGGATCAGTTGGTATGTTTGTGGTATGCATGTACTTGCAGGGAATTACTCTCCAGGCAACGCTTTGGAGGACTAGATATCACGATCAACCGTCGGATACGGTAGGAGATTTCATTGCAAAGGTGGAAGATCTTGAAAGTGAGGGTAAGAAAGGAAACCATTTCAATTATTTCGAGTTGGTTTCGTATTTAATGTGGTGGAAAATGTTGTCTGAAACGTCGGGGCATAATACAGAGAAACGAATAAGAACACAGTGGTTTAGAGTTGAACAAAACAAGCCTTTTGTGAGTTAAATCTGAATAAAATTCTTCACATTCATGTGAACATAGCAATTTGAATTTTCTATGCTAAAGACACTGTTGCTATACCTTGAGATTCGGGAAAAGCTTTATTCTGCTTTCCTGACCAAAGATTCCCTGACGACTCTTGATAGAATCTTAGGTCAGGTATCACCACGGGTTTAATAGATCATGACGCAACATGCCAAGGGTCACGTCCTGTGTGGATCCTATGTTTAGATGTACATATAGGCTGTAAATGGTGGTGTACAACATTGTTTTCTTGTTGTAATTTTATAAGTTTGGCTGATTACGGTGAATAAAATTCACCTCATCTTACATTCCACTCACTTGTTTCATGTTTGAGTCACCTGCTTTGTGAAAAACCGAAAAAACAGGGCGGCATTTTCAACGCTTAAATCGTAGGTCTTGAGCAAAATCTATGGATTATAGGGCGATCGCAGTACAAGGGAACAACGTCCGCAGGGTCAGGGTGGGAAATAAGCATGACAGGTTCTCATTCCCTTAAAAAAGAAGCAGTTTTCAACGACTAGGAATAATCAGTGAGTTTACCTTGGATTAATGCGCTTCCTCGACAATATATCATTGCGGATTCGTGGAAGAACTTCACCCAGATGTCGACTCGTCTCCGTGCCCAAGTGTGCGCGCGATCGTGCTTGTAACAGCACTTTCATGTCAGTTCACTCGTCGATGAAAGTCTAAACTCCATTCATAGTTGAGTCATTAATTATTATAAGTTAAAAAAAAAAACTAAGTCTTAAAACAAGGGAGGATTAACGTGTGGAAATAGTACTTTTTGTTGACGAAAATCATCTTGTTCGGAAACAGCCGCAATCTTGGTTCATACCATTATTAGCTAGGGTTGATTTTGAATTCGCAATGTTTCCCCGTTTAAGAAAACCTTCCTTTAAATAAAATTCAACTGCACACTGATCCTATTTATATTCTACTTTACGCCTAGCACTCAGGTTCCTATAATTTCAGCTCACAGTGCTCTGGGGGAAAGAATGTCATTATAGTTTTAGCTGTTTTTAGGTTTATCCGTTCATTAATGGAAACTCCCACATCTCAAAAACTACATATAAGGAAATTGGCGCTTGTCGGCCGACCATCTTTCTCGAGACTACAGCGTTCTGTGTGGAAATATTTTACAGACTGATTGAGACTATTATGTACTTTCTTTCAAGTAAGATATTTCAGGATTATACGGTAGTCTGACCAATTGTGTTCACCACCTTTAATGATGGTGGTTACTTTGAAAACTCACAAGAAACTCCAAATGTTTGTAGGAAGGAAGCAAAATATTGTGTTGCATGGGGTACAACAAGCCAATAAAATATAGAGGGGCCTAAATGCAGAAAGAGATGGGGAAGAGAAAGAAATTTTGTAAGTTCTTCACCGTTTTTAGGTTTGCCTAGCTTATTGTGTCGAAATTGAATTGGTAGTTTAGAGAACATTTACGACAAATGAACGCAGTTTTACTCCTCACCAATCGGTTCACCCGGCCCGATTGCGACTCTTCCGACCATCATCAATGTCATTATGCGAACAGACATGAAGAATGTGGACTGGAAGGGTTCGAAATATTTCGGCGATTTCCGGACCTTACTGGAGGAATTCCTCCAGATTTGGTTACGTGGACATTGGGTAATACTAGACCGGTGAATCATCGAGAATAGTCAGAATCATTGGGTCTGGTACCCAGACTCGACAAGCTTTAGGCTTAGTTACGTAAGAGGCGCCTTACATCGATACACTTTTACAGTAGGTAAGGGCACAAAGCTAAAAGCTTTCCCGAGTCACGAGGTATAGCAACAGCTGCGAGGTTTAGCATAAGTCTTACTAGTATTTTTCCCCTGATAGATTTTTTGCTATTATTTTCCCTAAGGGTGTTCTGTGAATCAGATAGACCTTGTCTTCGTTCTGGATAGCTCAGGTAGTGTCGGACAGTCCAACTTCGAAAAGACCAAGAGCTTCGTTTCGAATGTGTCGGAGTCCTTTCAGATCGGCGCTGACCAGACCCGCGTAGCAGTCATCCAGTATTCCAGTAGTGTTAAGGTTGAATTCCACCTGAACACCTACGCGGACAAAACATTTCTACAGGAAGCGATCAGAAACATAACATATATTGGTGGGGGAACGGCAACAGTTTCCGCTCTGAATGTCACGGAAAGTCAGGCTTTTCTTGTCGAAAACGGAGCACGACCGGACCTCAATTCGATAACACGTGCAGCAGTCGTCATCACCGACGGCCGGTCGCAGGGACCTGCGGCCGTTGCTGTACCGGCAGACCGGGCCCGAGAGAAGGGCATCACTATATTTGCCATCGGGGTGACCGATAATGTGAACGTGGAAGAGCTGAATGCCATCGCTAACAAGCCAAACGACACCTACGTGTTTCACGTCAGCAATTTTGACGCCATTGACAATATCGTGGCCTCTCTCGAAGATAAAACATGCAATGGTGAGCCTACGCTATTTTGACCATTTCTAAGGGTACTTTGAATATTGCTTTCTTCAACTTTGCTGTCTTCATTGGTTTGTCACTTCCGAAAATGGCAGTTTTATCGTCAGCTAATGAGATCACATTGTGACTCGAACCTGAAATAACCAACAATTTTAATTATTTATGAAATACGTCCAAAATATGGGGGATGTTTTAAACATTGGTGTAAATCTGTGCGTGAAATTAGGGGGATGGGTAAAAGTTGGAATGGTTTACCAGTCACGAAAATTTGAAAAGCGGGAAGGGTGGGATGGTACCATAATTATACATAGGGGAAATGTGCGTGATAAAGATGTACATGGCTGTGAAAAACCGTTTTCCCTTTTTTAGTGTGAATGCAAACATTTTAGTCGTTGGGAAGTTCAAAACAATCTTCACGATTTTTATACGGGCGATTCCCAATAGTCGATGGAATTTGGTTCATTGTGAATGACCAACGCGTTGCAAACTCTTGGAGGCACCCTATTGTGAAACGCTCGTATGTTTCACTGTTCAACACAAAAGGTTGGAGAGGGTTCAGTAGCCCACCCCCACCTCAATAAGTGTGGGGGGGTATATTCCCCCATCCCTCTGGGATTTGCGCCTATGATTTTAAAGGTCGCTTCTTAATAAAATTATTACTTGAGGACATGATTTCTGATAGTTCATGAGGAGAACAAAGATGCAAAAATATGTTCGATTATACAGATCATGTTATGGGATCTCTGATTTCGCATCGACGTATTCGACTTCTCCAAGTCCTATTTTCTTTCCCCTTTTCTCCCTTAGACGTTATCAAAATCTTTTCATTGTCTCTCATTTTCTTGGTTATACCTGCTTTGGATCTTTGACATTTGATTGAAACTATCTTTGGAATGAACAGATCCTACCCCTATCCGTGGACCGGTGGTCATGAACACTCTCGTCCAGGGGGACACGCAGTACCTACAGCAGGCCGTTTCCAATGAAGGAGTTACCCTCGTCATTGAAGCTGATCAGGGCAACGTGGCCATGTATATTTCCACCACCACGCCTAACCCCAACAAGGCATTTTACGACTACCTTCTGAAGGCAACGGCGGGGCAGGGTAAGGTGGAAGTCTACATCGGTCCCGAGGAATTTGTGAATCAGGGCAACCTCTCCATCGAGACGGGTGGCGGAGGCGACCGAATGCGGCGGCAGGTGAGCTTAAATGTGGATGTTTGACGTTTATGCTTCGATTACGATGTAGGCAACTACCTTGACTGTGGAGACTGCATAGAATACTTTGCCTAATAACATGACAATATTTACATTATATTTAATATAGGTTTTAAGTTGTCCTTTTTAAGTGAAGAGCTTTTCTGATACCCTGCGCAAAACGTATCTCCACGAGATCAAGTTTCCATTTCTGTTGTTCTCACAATCTGTCTTTTCTGAATCAAAGGCACCAGGACAGAACGACACTGACGATGGCTCCCCAATTGGCACAGTCTATATGACCATAGAGGGCCTGCAGGAGACCAACAACTTTGTGCTGAGGGTTACAGAAGGTGATGTCACTGAGCCTGTCACGACATCTATAACAATGACCAGAAACATGGCCACCACAAAAGAGTCTGGGACAAAGGCTGCGGCTTACTTAGCCGTCGGTCTGACAGCTCTCTTTACAACTCAGTTATTGAAATCAGTCCTCTTCTAAACAATGAGCCTCAAAATTAACATCCGCCACATTTGATATGATTGAATCTTAGAATGACTACACAGAGCTACATTAAACCACTTATTTGTAACTGCAAATGTATGAATACTGATCATTGCCATGATGAAAATCATTGTTATAATTGAGCAGTTCTAATTCTAAAGTTCTAGCATCTAGGATACAGTATACGTAATCTTTCTCTACTGTGAGAGCTTTTTCTGTGTGGAAGTCCGGCCGGGTTAAGAGTTAACAAGTGTTAAAAAAGATCCTACTTTTCTCTCGTTTTGATCATCTCTGTCCTGCATTCAATAATGTTTTGACATAAAGTTCACATGGGAGTAGTTACGCTTTTTTTTTCAGAACCAGCCACTTCGCTTTGAAATTTTGAAAAAACAAACTAAAAAAGACCAGATTGTCATTGCAATGGAAAGAAGCAACAATTCTGCTCATGCACCATTTTTTCACAATCCGTACCATGCACTTATTGCGCAGTCTGATGTAAAACTTCAAGTTTTATAGGTTTTCAATTTATCTTTAGAGATCTTTAGTTTCATTTTGGAGCTTATGCTTCTGCGTGGTGTTATTATCATTTATGATTATTTGCAGCAACACAATATACACATTCAACAATCCAATAATTATAAAAATATATCTTAAACATTCTTTCTTTCTAAACACTGATTATTACATTCAGTTGAACCAAAAATGAGGTAAATTCATGCGAACATTACTTAAATGTTTTACGTTTAAACATGTGTTCTCAAAATGCTTCTTGCACTGCGTATGACAGCGGCTATATACTTTTTTATTGAGAGTTTGTGGGTACCGCATAAGTGTTAAATTTAACTTAGTTGTAATGCGTGTAAGAGAAATACTCAGATTATTTTAATTTTAAAATGGTTAAACTTAGAAAGAAAAAAATTAGCATGATAAAGATTCTTTGCAGGTAATCTCTAGGTCTTGTATCGCTGGATATTTGGTAAAACATTCCCTCATAAATGATCAATGAATGCAAAAACACTTCTGCTGTCCTGTACATTTTTACAAGACGATTCACAAATTTGGATCAACTTGACAAACCAGGAAAGCTTCAAACTGTAAAAGAAAATGCCCAACCCTGGTTAAAGTTACCACAATGTCGCTCAATTTTCATTACTGTTGGTCAAACACTGATATTGGAGAAAATTTGTCCAAGGTTGAGAAGCTGATATTTACAACAACAATGGGAAAAATATCAGTCCAACCTCTTTACAGCGCAGGTTTAAAACCTAGAAGCCGCTCTTCTCGGTGCAGGCACCTGTACTGTAATCTAAAAATGAAAACAAGCATTGATAAAGTCATATTGAGTGTAAAATGCGAAAAAAATTCCAAGTATGATATAAATGTACGCAGATCCAACATTTAATTTGTAAACAATGAACAATTATGCAGTATTTTCATTCTTGTTGTTGTTGTTGTTGTTGTTGTTGTTGTTGTTGTTGTTGTTTTTTTGTAAAACAGCAACACACCAGAAGCTGACGACCTATCCGTATTACGTCGTAATCCTTTCTGCTTAGTGCATAGTACTTCCTGAGCTCTGGACCACGCTTTAGAAATAATGGACATGAAATATAAAGATGTTAGAAAACATTACTTATGCCTCATTTTGTGAGATCAAGACATAAATTGCAGAATCTTCTCTGATGAAAACAGTGGGGTTGGAAAATGCATGCTATCACCACAAAATGAAACATAAGACTCCTTATCAAAAAACGATGGAATGCAGATCAACAATGGACTAAAACTTATTTGTGCTATGTATGTGCCCCTATACAATGAGTATTGCACTCAGGAGCAGGAAAAAAATCAGCGTGCAACCGTTCCGTGTGGTTCCCTTCAAGCAAACAATGCCAAATTTTTTTTCCTAGCGCTTTTGAGCATAGTCAGAAAACAGGAGGTGAGAGAGGCACGCTTTACCTTTTCAAAAGGGCTAAGTCAGCGTTATTTTTCCCCTCTATCACTTCCGTCTTTGGCCCTGGTTATTGTTCTGAATCTTTCCGCGCTTGGATTCTGTCGGAGACAGGCATGTGTAGTTTTGCAGCTACACACAGATTCGATTCTTGAAATGGAAAGGAAGGCTATTGGAGGTAAGTGGCTCCGAGTAGACACTGAAAGCAACCCATGTCAATCTGATGTAAATTAGCTCAGGCCGGCTGTCAATTCTTGAGAGAATAATGATTCATATGCACAAAGAAGGCGACCTGAACGAAATTTGAACATACAACACCTTATCTGCGCCATATCAACTTGGCTAGCCAAAACACCTGATGTATCTTACGATCTGAACGCTGTCTATAAGTCTTGAGCACAAAACTGGACAAATTGGAAAAACCAACCAGCATTCATGGAGAACGCAGTAGGTGGAGAGACACCACGTATCTCATTCTTCAGTAATTCAGTTCTAAATCTGACGGATCTGGAATAACACACTTCCCAAAACTGAAAAATCGGAAAACAGAAAAAGAATATGACGTAGAGAAAGATAACGGAAGGGACAGGGGGAGAGGAGGGGGGTTAGAGGCATTGCTTTCCGAGTATTTGTGTAGAAAAGGTCAATACATGGGTTACACCCCCCCATGAGGTAAAACTGACACAAAGCAGAAAACAAAGTACTGAGATAGACGTCTCATAAACAAACATTTACTGTTCTCTGAGCTTATTAGGTTATTCAGTTACATATTATGACTAATTTGGTCCATGCCTGTCATCAAAGGTCGCCTTTCGTTGGTACTAGTGATATTCACCCACAAAAACTGAGATTTCAGGAATGCTGTTAAAAATCTTGATTCATGGAGTTTTTAACGTCCTGAATCCGTGTTCCTAATAGCCTTTAGTTTATGCCAAGCAAGAAGGTCATGCGCAGGTATCATGTTATTGGGTTTATCAGCAGCCTAACCGTGTGCGCTTTGATAGCTCACAATGGGTTCAAAGTCACATGATCAGTTACGAGCCTTTCTGGAGAACCAAAGGTGAAAGATAAACACAGACTGAACTGTTTGAGTAGTTTTGGGACTCAAAGAGGCCATTTGTCCCTGGGAGTTTTCCATTTCCTCGTATTTCCTAACATATTGAGAAATGTGGAATTCCCATTTTTTTTTTAGCCTATCACCTTCACTGCAGTAGGCCTATATTCACTTAAAAAGAACTGGGCTGGAATTCCCCCACTTCCAATATATTTCTGACACAACGTGATTTGAAGCAACCCAATTTATTTCTGGATTCACAGATCCATTGCAGTGGTGAATTTAAAACGATTTTGTTCAATTTAAGTGATTTCTAAAGAATGCGCTTAATCTTGACACTCAGACGTTTATTTCTGATAAACCGAAGGCGTATATTTAATACAATTTTATGATTCTCCGGCTTTTAAACGAACATTTACTACAGAAATATGTTGTGTATCCCATGAGCCACAAATCACTGAAGGAAACGGAAATATCCCACAATGAATACATAAATCAATTTTAAAAAGCACAAGGAGAATGTTCCGACTTTCTAAGGTAGAAAAATCACATGTGTGTCCGTACTGGCCGAGCTTTCAACCGAAATTTCCAAGTCACAACTTAGAGTGTACAGGAGTTTGCTGGCTTTGTTTACAAAAAGAAGCCACCAATCAATGGCCATCGATTACGGTCCGGCCTCGAGTCAATGTCGTCTTTTGCATGTACACTTCCTCCCCTTTACGCTACCACGCGCAGCGCACACTGCATGCTCCGGTGGGTTAAAAGGTTACGAGCATTGAATGTGCAAGCTAGCAGCTATAGACTGCGAGTGGAGGTGTAGTTTTTTTATCATCGGTGGGTTAATCTGACAAATTAAGTTTTTTTGTTCTTTTTCTCTGTTTCCAACTCGGTATTCTGAAAGCACTTGCCCAAGGTGAAGTGCGTGTCCGAGGTCATTAGGGAACAGCAGCACGCGGGCGCGATTGTCTGCCCTATCACAGCAGTCATACGCCTGTACTCACGCGCGTATTTTGTTCCCAAACACTGACTCTTTTTCAAATGTCGAACTTGCTCATTTGAGTCGAGTCTATAAACAGCATAGAAACTTGCTCCTTTTTCGATCAGTGCTCCCCACAGCAATTTTGCTTGTCGCTTTCCTGCCCCCGATTCGAGGCGTGGGAATCGACTTGACCGTCGTGGCCAACAAGTTTAATACCACCGTCGTAGAAGCCACCATTACGAAGTTGAACCGGTTGGCAGAGGTCAACGAAGACCTCCGGGCAAACAACCGCTTCCTGCGGCGTATTGCCTGGGTGGAAACCGAGGATGGCACGGCAGCTCACACCTACTCCGACCCGACCTACCACGGAGGAATATGGCGAGTGGACGAAGCTGTCTTTGACGCCACTACGCGGATGGTGAACGAGCTAGTCCACCTCTCTATCTTTGATGACATTGAGAGGCTCTTTTGCATCCGCTGGAGCCGTGCTTCTTGGGAAGATTGTCGGAAACCACTGTATTCGGCTCTCGCTGCCCGGTTGTTCTTTCACAACCTAAATAACGTCATCCCACTGGTAAGTGCACAAAATCCTCAGAGCAATTTGTTGAACGGGCTTTTTTAAAAATTTGTCGCCAGTTTGAAAAAGGTTATGTATGAAAAACAATTATGCCTTTATAATATTCACTGTGCCCCTTTAACCCACCCCCTCCAATTGTCCCCCTAATCCTCTCCTCCCGAAAGGAGCATTCAAATTTTTGTCAGACTAAACCTTAAAGGGCCTATTCCTTTACCGGTTCAAAGTCATTACTGTTAGATATGATATTTTTATAGAGCCTGCTTCGTTCCAATCACAGCGTGCAATGCCATACCTCCTTTCCATATCTGGGACCCCTTTACCTACAGGCTTTCAATGGGCTTTCAGTGATAAAGTCTCTCGGTTCCCCGGTATTATGAAACGTTTTCCACAACCTGTGTTATACGAGAGCAGCGAACATAACGCTGATGATTTGAAAGAATGAAACATTATGGCATTTGCTCATTTGGGGCAGGCTTTGGAGGCTCAAGCTGACAATTGGTTCCGGGAGTACCACGCACTACCAACGGTAACAGCAGAGACCTTTATTCTCAAAGTCACGACACTGGAACAAACTGGTAAATAAGAGATAACTGACTTTATGAATATAGATACGACTATCTGAATGGCAAGATTCGGAGGGCCATTTATGCTCCAAGAGGAGTTCATTCCTCATAAAAAAAAATAAAGCAAAGAAAAAGAAAAACAACTGTGACAAGGTTAAGGGGTTTACTTAAACTTGGGCAATGTGGCTTATTTACGACTGTCACAGTGCTAGACTTGCAACTCATCTGCAAATCATAGGACTCACCTTTAATTAAAAGAATTGAGTCCCGTTTGTCCTCCATTCTTTAGCTCATCGTTCTGAGAGGCTCATGTTTGAAATGTGTGTTAAATACAACAGACGATTTCCTTTCGCTTGGATGTGCACTTACAACCTCTGGAATCAATCGTATCGGTGCTGTACCCGATGACGTAGTCCTCTGCTCAGATGGAAGTTTTCAAAGTAATGAAAAGTACTGACACACCAACCAAGCTGTTTGTCCGTCTTGACTATTCGACTGCTCTTTGACCAGGTGTTGGATTCGCTTACTAGTGCCCTTGATGGCTGGTCTTATACCAGTACACTGAAAACCAGATCGGCGCACGGGGACGATAATGGGCTGAGCCGAAGTACGATATGTTGTGGCCTTGAGCAAGTCACATGGCCCCTGCTTGCGTCTCTCAGCCTGGTGGTGCAAATGGTACCGCTTACGACAGTATTAGCTGGGGAGCAACCTGTTACGGACTGGCATGCCATCCTCAGGGGTATGGAGGAATAGAAATATTCTGATTCTTTCCATGCCAAGAAAACCGGAGATAACCCCAATGTTGAGAGGCACATTGCAAGGAACAATCTTGCTCGCTTGCGAAGTTGAAAGCCACTAACTCAACAGATACTTATTTGAGACCGGATAAGAGTACAGTGTGCTGAAATATGGCGTCTTTCCTATCAAGACTGGCGTCCCTGTGGTGCGTATTGCGTCAAGGTAGTAACGAACTTCACGAGACACTGCACTGTAAAATAATTTGGGACTCATTTTGATGTCATAACATACCAAATACCGATGGAACACAGTATGGAATTAGGAATATATTCACATAATATTAATGTTTAGGCGTCAGATTTTTTGCTAGCAGATGACTGGGCTCTCAACCAGTTGATTGATCGCCGTTTTCAGACAACCCTATGAAATTTTATGTGTCGAGGTTTGTCTCAGATTTCGCGTGTTCCGCGTCCATTTTGTATAACGTGTAATAAGACAATATTTCAGAAGTGATTCTGCTGCGATTGATCACAAGGAATGTGAAAACTGTCTTTGGTATTTATGAATGGTTTTTATACACTTTTTGGCAATATTCTATGATAATACAAACACACCTTCTCTGGATCGATCAGAATACTCGAGCTGTTTCGGGTATTTACGAATTATGTATTTGATACTCACTGTCTCCAGGATGCAATGCACGTGGTCTTGATCTGCTTTTCGTTTTGGATGGATCTGGAAGCGTGGGCAGCGTAGACTTCAACACAACCAAGAATTTCGTGCTCACCATGATCGACTTCTTTGACATCGGTCCCGATAAGACCCGCGTGGGCGTCATCCAGTACTCCACTTTACCTCACATTGAGTTCCACTTAAAGGACAACACTGAAAAAGCCCAGCTCAAGCGGGCTGCTGGAAACATAACCTACCGAGCTGGGTGGACACACACTGGCGCAGCACTAAATGTAATGAGTAACACGAGCTTCCTACTGGAAAACGGTGCCCGCCCGCCGAGTCGGGGTTTCCCCCGCGTAGCCGTGGTCGTGACTGACGGCAAATCGCAGGACAACGTTACGGAGCCAGCGGAGAGGGCGCGAGATATGGGCATTGTGATCTTTGCCATCGGGGTAACGTCCTCGGTAAAAGGGTTGGAGCTTAACGCCATTGCCAACGAACCAAACGACACTTACGTTTACCACGTCAACGACTTCGACGCCATTGTCAATATTGCTGCAGCTCTGGAATACACCACTTGTGATCGTGAGTAATCATTGCCAGTTGTAAAACTCAATTAATAATTCTAATTTCTTGAAACCAAATTACATCCTAAGTTGCTGTCATTTACATTGATCCTCAATTGTTACATTTACAAGAATAACATGATGAGAACACGATTTTAGCCCATGTAATATTAAACTACATGTATAAGGATTTGCTGCTTTTGAATCTGTATACAGTAAAAACTGTCGCATTATAACAACATTACCCCCAAAATGTCAAAATTATAGATACTTAGCTTCGAAATTTAAAACCGTAGTTTTTTTGCACACGAACAATATTGTCTTTCTGTCATTGTATTTCAAGAACACTTTTTACTTTTTTTGAAGGGAGTATTGGTGCACACAGTCCTCCTGGATCAGTCAGTGTAGATAGATACCAATATTACTTGGTTCTTTATTCAACAGAGCCAACTGAGCTCCAAAACGGAACAGCTAACGGTTTCCTCGATCGCAACGAGAAGCAAAACTTTCAGTATGCTTATACCAGCAAAGGCTTGACCCTGAGTCTGAATGGAAGCCAAGGGTGCACAGTGGCTTATATCTCTGCCAGCACGCCCAACCCCAACGCGGCATCTTATGACTTCATCTTAATGGCTAAAGAGGGACAGGGAACCGTGACCCTCCACCTGACGGTGGACGACCTGAACAAAAATTGCACGTCCGAGTTTGCCCGCGAGCGCAGAGAGGTGAGAAGTTGTCCGATCATTCACATTTTGCCAAAACCTGGGACCGACTCCATAATCGACTGGAATGAGGTTTGAAAATATTTTGGGACGCGTTTTTTTTTACTG